ATTCATTTTTTCATTTGCTTATTGTTTAATTTGTTCATTATAATAATCTTATGAGATATACATAGGAGAGGCTATAGTCATTTACTTCTATACAGCCAATCTACCAAAATAACTCATAAGTTCCACTTATTCTGTAAAACGTGAAGGCTCATGCTGGACATACCAGAGAATAGTTAAAAAAGTATTCCTAACCCTACCAGTTGAGTTTCATAACCAAGAGACAATTTTTGTATTTTCCAGCCTGTCTTTGCCAGTTTTTTCATAGTAAATTATATAATGTAGGTTATAAATAAATTTCAATGGAGTGCAAAAGGGAACAGTTCTTATTTGTAAGAAAACTAAGCTGAATGATCTAGAAAGATTCTCAAGAACTAAAAAGAATTAGTATGACTTAGACAACAGCAAGGCGACTTTGAAGAGTGGTAGGTATTTTGAAAATCTAGACGAATTTTCACTGTTTCACCCCAACATGAAAATCACAGGCAATGAATCATAAGTATTACTGTCAGGAGATGATGCAGAAGTCCAACCAGTGGGCTCCAAAAAGCTTTGAATCTATATTAAAGACTGATGAATGAATATTTAAATTCTTTATGATATAATACAATGTTTAAGGTACATATGCATTGTTTTACAATTTCCTACTTTAGCCAACTTTTTCTATTAACTAAAAACTATGTGTTCCCAATATGTAGTGTAAAAGGTCAATTTTCAATTCTCTTTTTACAAGTAAAATAAGACTCCTCGAAGTTAAGTAACAGTCAAATACAAAGCCAGATTATGAATTCAGACTGTATATATATCCATATTTGAGTTGTATCTTCTGCTAGCAATAATGTACCACAGTGCAATAACTAAAATAAACTACAGGCTACATTGAAAGGAATAGTATATTTAATATGTCTTTAATCTCATTGCTATCATTTTAAACCTTACCAAAAAGAAATTGTGAATAAAAATAGGAATACCATTATTGAGCAAGATAAAACCATAAAAAAATATGTTATAAATGTGGGAACAGAGAAACCAGATGATCAGCAATTTGGTGGTTACAAGTGATAGGCAACTGTATGTGAATGTTTGAAATGTATGTGCTTATGTCAAGCCTTAGTATATTCTGAGAGACAGTGTAACAACAAGGAGTTTAAAAGGCAGGCTCTGAAATCAGATGACCTGAGTTTGGGTCTTGGCTCTACCATTTACTAACAGATAATACTGGTCAATTCACTTAACCTCCCTCTGTCTCAGTCTCCTCAACTATAAAATGAAGCAGATAATTCTTACTATATAAGGGTGTTTGTAGGATTCAATAAAATAATCCATGTAAAGAAGTCCCTGCCACACAGTAAACACACATCACTCACCAGCTAACACTGATGTGCCAGTGAGGGTGCCAACCTAATTGGTAACAGTATTCTTGGCATAGGGGCCAGCCTGCCCAGATTCAAATCCCAGCTCAGTTACTTAGCAGCTCTGTGAACTTGGGAGAAGTTACCCTCTTTGTGCCTCAAATTTCTCATCAGTAAAAAATAATCGAGCTTCATAGGATTATTATGAGAATCCAGTGGGTTAATAAATATAAAGTGCCATTTGTAATATAAATGGCATATAAAGTGCTGTAATATAATCAATGTTAGCCACAGTTTTGCCATTGTTGGCTTTTTGGCTACATAGAAAACTGCCATTTCTCAGAATATCCAGATTTTTTTTAAATCACCGTGGTCACTTTAGCTCTATGCGTCTCACTCTGTTTGAAACACTCAAACAATTTAGTTTCTACCACAGGACTCAAGTAATTTAGTATTCAAAACAGATAAATCACCAGTGCCAGCTAGCAGTGAGCTGCTAATAAATTCACCAAATGAGGAATGTTGCTCAAAGGGGATTTATACAAATATAAATTCATTAAAACAAACAATCTAATGTAGTTTGAAATCTGTGACAAACTAAATATAGTGTAGTCTGAAAACTATGACTATTTTAAATAGTTTTAAACTAACAAACAAAAATTGTATATATGTGTGGGGCACAATATGTTTTGATATATGTATGCATTATGAAACAGGTAAGTCAATCTAATTAATGTATCTAATACATCAGATACGTATTTTCATGATGAGAACATTTAAATCTCCTTTTCGGCAACTTGCAAGTATACAGTATGTTGTTACTAAGTTACCACGTTGTACAATAGATCTCCAAAACTCGTTCCTGAGTAACTAAAATTTTGTATTATTTAACCAACATCTCCACAATCCCCTTCGCAGTCCTCAGTCCCTGGTAACCACCATTAACTCTGTATTTCCATGAGTTTACTGTTTAAAATTCCACCAGCAAGACCATCCAGGTTTTTCTCTTTGTGTCTGGCTGATTCTACTTAGTATAATATACTTCAGGTTCTGTGTTATAGCAAATGACAGAATTTCATTATTTTTAAAAGTTGATTTTTATTTCGTTGTGTATATATTCAACATTTACTTTATCCAGTCAGCCACCAATAGACACTAAAGCTGACTATGTATCTTAAAGTAATGCTACAATGAACATAGGAGTGAAGATATCTCTTTAACATATTGATAACATGTCACTTGGATATATATACAGAAATGGAAATTTTAGATCATATGGTGTGCTATTTTTAATTTTTTGAGGAACTGTCATGCTGTTTTCTAAAATGGCTGTACCAATTTACCCTGTAAACCTCAGTGAGCAGGGGTTCCTTTTCTCTATATCCCCAGCACTGACCTCATTTTCTTGATAACAGCCATCCTAACAGGTGTGGGGTGACATCTCATTGTGGTTTTAATTTGCCTTTCCCTGATAATTACTAATGTTGATCATTTTCACATACCTGTTGGCCATTTGTATGTTTTCTTTTAAGAAATGTTTTTTTAAGGTTACTTTGTGTAGAATGGACATTTTAAGAATTAATATTGTGATATGGTCATATAGCTATTAAAATGTCATACAAACGCCAAGTGGAGAAAACTTCAAAAACTGCAAACTATAAAAAGATTGCATGATAAATACAGTACCAAAAAAGAGACTCATTTTGCATTAGTCAAACAATTGAGAAACACTGTTAAAATTTTTTGGACAGATTTGTGATGTTAATAAACTTCTAATCTTCTCTAGACCTCATTTTCCTATGATATAAGAGTGTTGCATGTGTTGTATTTCTTTTTTTAGTATTAAATGTAAGTGATACTATCGCTATACTAACTTTAACATCATTAATCTAAGCATTATCTGTCAGAGCATTTCTCTCAAGAGAAACCTGTGATAGCTTCTAAGATTCTTATCAACTTGATGTTTTTTGTCAGTGAAGCTATATTGGAGGAAAAGAATTAGAAGTATTATTTTTTGGCATAATTTAAACAGCACAAAAGTTATAACATATGCTAACATATTATATTGTTAAAGAAAAAATATTAATACCATATAAAGATCCCATATAATAGCATTATATAGCTTTACTTTTTGCATACCACATGATTGTTAATCAAAGCTTCCAGAGCTCAAAACTACAAAACTACTGTAACCTATACCATTCCTGCAGTCCTCATTTTGCACAGTTTAAATATGCACAAATTTCAAAACCACACTTTAATGAAATAATCTAGTCCTGCAACAACACAGTTCAAATTCTTAGTAATTATACAAGAGCTGCTAGCTCTTTAGTCCACAAATCACTAAAAATAACAGATGAGATGATGATCAGAGACCAGTCATACACTTCTTTCAAATGATTGGTCACTGCACATTTGTAATCTTCAAACATACACAGCAAAGTGTGTTTTCTCCATGTCCCCCAGAGATAAACCCATATGATATTTTACAAAAGTGGATAACAGACAGAGGGGATTTGCCTATAAAAATAAAAGTATAGCAAAGAAACAAAATGCGATAATGCTGGGATGGAAACTGGATGTAGGTAGAAGATCTGAAAATGGTAACAGCAAACAAAGACAGGAGAAACCTAAGCCTGCATGAAGTGAAGGTACGAACGATGTTGAAAAAGTCTAATGAACATAAAAAACAAAGTCACAGGATTCTAATTTAATGTAAATGGAGTCGTTGGAGAAATAGCTGACCATAGAATGTTGACATTGAATCCTTTGGAAAGATGGTTACACAGCCAGGGGAACTTAATGAAGGTGAAGTCATCACAAAAATGAGGAAAGTGATAGGAACAAAAAAGACGACGTCTCAGAGGAAGTGATACCAACATGTAACTTCACACTGACGTTTCTTTAAATGTTAAGGAACTCTCAGAGAAATTACATAACATTGAAAGTACAATAGACAAAATACTGGGAGCTAATCTAAATTAGCTGGGAGCTAATTTAAAATACTGGGAGCTAAAAAACTCTGGGAGCTAATCTAATTCCTTTGAAAGGAATATAACAGTTCAATTCACCAAAGCATAGTAAAGATGCTCATTCCATCTGATATTAGAGAATTAGAAGGCAAACACTGCTCTAACTACTTTTGATAAGTTTATGCAAAGAAATCATACACTTTATTTCTCAATGTTTCTAATTTCTAAATTACAGTGTACTAAAAAATATTACTTTAGTTTTACTAATTATTCACTTGCCTATACATTTATGAACCACAATCTCTGTTTGAGACACTCAAACAGTAGGAAAGATTTTAAAGCTTTGATAAAAGGTTTTAAAGGCCACAAAAAATTGTTATTTTTACCTTTGATTATTACGATCACATTACCTGGTTTCCTCTTACATCGTCATTTTTAGGGTCCCACACTACTGTGCAAAGCAAGTAGTACATGTATTGCCAATACCTAAATTTTAGTTTCACAGATTTTCTCAATGTAAGCACAAATCATTCAGAAACCACTATTACACTTATTGCTAGTTTAATAGTCCCCTTCTGAATGTGTTTTATAAATTACTTATAGTATCATGATATGATGCTGAAAGATGCCCTCTGTTACTCTTTTAACAAAACCAGATATAGAGAAGAACATTAGGTACCTGGCAGTGGTAACTGAACTAATATACCACTGACTCTTGGGTCCATATTCAATTGATCAGTTATGTCCAAAAGCTCTTCCTGAGAAACATCCTTAGGTTTTAGAATGAGCTCACTACAAATACCTAGAAGAAAAACAAGCAGAGAAGGTCACTTGACTAACTGAATATGGTTTTTCATCAACAGTGTCTGACACAGTGTGGGGCTGTTCCTATTGGGATGAAAGGTTCTGATGTTTAATGCATCATCAGGAAGGATTTCTCCAATAATACAAGTGTATTCTCTTGATTCACATGCATTCTTTGGCCTGGAATGCCAGGTGACCACTTGTACTTGTTTGAGATAAGCTACTATTAGTAGATTAGAAGAGAATAAAAACATCACTATCACACAACTAATTAGGCCAAGTTTAACAGAGTGAACAAGCCAGGTTTATTATTTGATTAAATCAAATACAATGAAAACAAGCCTTTTAGATGTATTCTTTGCATTTTTTCCCATAGAATATAAAACACACTGAATTAACCCTATACAAGTTTTGAAGAAACATCAAATGAAATTAACATAAGGTTTAGTAACTGAATAATCTTTAATAATAATACATGTAATTCAAATGGTACTTATTTGATAATTATCATTCATAATTATCACAATTCGAACTAAAAACAGAAAACATATTTAGTAGCAATTACAACTACAACACATACCCACCTACAGCAGAGGCAGCTCTTATCTTATTCCTGACGTATGTTTTGCTTGCTGGATTATCTCCCACTAAAATTATACTGAGGTGAGGTCTTCTGTTTCCAAGGGAAATCCATGATTCCACACCTTGCTTTATTTCTTTCTGGATATGCTTAGCCATTTCGGTTCCTGATATAATAATGGCTTCATGTCTGTGGAAAGCAAAACAATAAATATAATACTAAAAAGAAAATAAAAAATATTCAACTGCACAAATTTAAGGTACAAAAATGAACAAAACAACCATGATTCTCCAAGCACCCCAAATTTGATTTTTTTTTCAATTAATGTGACACCTGCTCTTCAGGTTTATAAATATTTTATAATTTTGTGAATGATTTAACCTCTGTTATTTAGTTCTACAATATAACCTATCTGCTATAGAATAAATGTGTATGTCTCTTCAAAATTCATATGTTGAAATCCTAACCCCAAATGATATGATATTAGGAGGTGAATCCTTTGGGAGATGATTATATAATGAGGATAGAGCCCTCATAAGTGGTGTTACTGTCCTTTTAAGAAACTCCTGAGATCATCCTCATGCCTTCTGCCATGTGAGGACATAGCACGAAGACAGCTATCTATTAACCAAAAAGCCGGCCCATACCAGACTCTAAACCTTCTGGTGTATTGATATTGGACTTCCCAGCCCACAGAACAATGAGAAGTAAATTTCTGGTTTTTTATAAGCCAACCAGTCTCTGATGCTCTGTTACAGCAGCTCAAATAGACTAAGACACTATCTCCAGTGTATGTTTCTTCACAATTTTTACTTAGGTATTATACATATAACATATATATTATACACATACATGCATACAAATGTATATACATATACATATATATATATATTCATACAAATTATCAAACTACATACTCAAGATCTAGACTATATTATTGCCTAAATTTAAAGTTCTGCCATTTTTTCTAAAGAGGCAGATCAGCACAGCCCAGTTAAAACTGGCAACAATCTTGAAGACTGGGCTCCATTGTTTATCACAGGGCCGCAGAGTCTTGTGACCCCTAAGGCAAAATCAGTTCGTTTTTGGTTAGCATATCCTGTACAAGACCCTGAAGTCATGAGCTTCATACTGAGGGAATGTATTCTCTCCCCAGGTCCACAAGGGGGCGCAATTTCAAGGGCAAGAACTTGCAGCGCCATACCGCCGCACTTCTCCATCCGGGAGCTTAGAGGTCTTTGTTTGACTTTGGGGAAGATAGACTGCCTGGAAACAGAGATCAATCATTCTAGCGGAAGTTTGAAGGAACTCCTCTCATAGGACAAAAAATTTGAATGGGGCGGGAGTAACTCCCAGGTTAAATTCCCCTGCGCTTAGCCTGCAGGGACTCCATCTTTCTGGATTGCCTCTCACTCGGTGTGAGAACTGTTCTTGACTTTTCTCTCTCTCTCCCTCTCACTCCTTTTTCTCTCTCTATCTGTCTCTCTCCCTAAAATAAATCACTTTGCTATAAAACTTTTTGTGTCTGGTATTTACTCCAAGGAGCTCACCTTCGCCGACAGGGTCCACTCCCCCATTCTTGAGCGAGTGTGAGACCCAAGGACCTCAGGCATACCTAATCAGGGAGGGAATAGGGCCATTGTCCCTCCGGTAACAGTGTCCCCTTCGGTAACAATAGTACACAGCTCTTTAACTTACTCAAAGAAAAATAATATTCCATGGCCTGAGGCCAACTCCCTGACAACAGCTGTGAATCTTGCCATGCTTGTCACTGATTATGGTGGGTAAACAGTTTAGTTGCTCCCCAATGCCATGGTGTCATTGCTAATGGAAAAAGTTTGCATTTGCTTCCTGGAAGTTTACTTACTTCCTGGCAGTTAATAGGTATTTCGGAAGGTAAGAAGTGCTATATTTTGATAGATGACATAAACTATCTCCGGAAAGGCACAAAGAAATACTTTCTAGAAGGCCTTTCTACTCTCTATGACCTCAAACTTAAAAGTGGTGAATTATGTTGCTCTTACTATGTGTTTATTTTTTTAAAGCTTTCTGATAAAGTAGAAAGTGGTCCCTTCTTCCTTCTGGCCCTGTCCTATTGAAAGACCTGGTGAAAATATGATTACTAGAAAAAGCATCAAATGTAGGTTAATAAATATTATGAGGAAGAGGAAAACGAGAAAGAGTAAGAAGCAGAGGAAAAAGAGGAGGAAAGGAAGTCCTTATAAACCTTAATTCTTTGTAGTACCTGTACACTTTAAATTTTCTAACAAGGGTAGGTGCCATAAATATCAGACAACACACAAAATGCAAATTTTCCAAAGAAGTCAACTGCTCTATCTAGTAGGTATGTGGACATATAGGTAGAATCAGATCAAAAACACACCATTCATGCATGGCACCAGTTGTCCATAGCATTTATCTCAGTTCATGCAATTTTGATGTAAACAATGTTCTGCTAAGAAGCAATTCCAAATGTGGCCTATGGATATACACATCAAAAACTGCCTGAACTTGCAGACTCCGAGACCCCACAACCACATCTAAATTCAGAATTCCTGGGGGTTGGGGAGGGGGGTGGCTGAAACCTGGAAATCTGCATATCTAATAGTTTTCTACAGGTGATTCTTGTGTATGACCACATTTGAAAAACACTTTAATTGAACATAAAAGTGTATTCTAATAACAATCATAATTTATGAGTAAATGAGCAAAGTGGTCACACAATACACTCAGAACTAGACATTCTAAGTGAACTCTACTTTTAATTCTAATTTTGTCTACGATTCATTAAAATTTTAGTAGCTTTCAAGACATTAAATGTGATGATGGATTCAATATATCGATCTTGTTCTGTCTTATTTCTGTAATAAGATTTATTCAGTATAATTGTTATATAAAAATGACATATTTAAAGTATACAATTTGATGTTTTAATATTTGTATATACCTAAGAAATCATCACTATACTCAACACAATGAACATGTCTATCATTCACAAAACTTTCCAGGTGCACCTTTAAAATTTCACCATTCCACCTGTGTCTGCCAGATTCCACTCCTCCACTGACCATTCCAGGCAACCAATTATCTCTTTTGTTTGCTTTATATTAGTCTGTATCATCAAGAATTTTATAAAAATTTAATCAAATAGTACATGCTCTTTTTTAGCCAGCTACTTCCACTCAGCATAATTATTTTTAAATTAATTTCATGTTGTCGCATGTTTGAACGGTTCATTTCTTTCTGATCGCTGAGTACTATTACACTGTATGGATATAGCAATATTTGTTTATTCATTCAATTATAATTATTAATGGATACTTGGGTTCTTTCCAGTTTTTGATCATAAAAAATACAGCTGTTACAAACATATGTTTTATACACATATGCTTTAATGTATTTGGGGATGGTGGGGGACACAGTCTCACCCTATCACCCAGGTTGGAGTTCAGTGACAGGATCTCTGCTCACTGCAATCTCCGCTTCCTGAGTTCAAGTGATTCTCATGCTTCAGCCTCCCAAGTAGCTGGAATTACAGGGATATGCCACCATGCCTGGTTAATTCTTATATATTTAGTAGAAACAGGGTTTTGCCATGTTAGCCAGGCTGGTCTCAAACTCCTGGCCACAAGTGATCTGCCCCTCTCAGACTCCCAAAACACTGGGATTACAAGTGTGAGCCACCACTCCTGGCTGCTTTAATTTATTTTGAGCAAATAGCTCAAAGTGGAATGGTTAGGTCATATTGTAAGTGTATGTTTAAATATGCTAAAAACTGTTAGGCCATTTTACAAAGACACTGTACTGCTTTGCATTCCTTCAAACAGTGTATCAGTTCTGGTTGCTCTATATACTTGTCATCACTTGGGATGGTCAGGTTTTAAAACTTTTGACATTTTAGTGGACACATGGTGGTATGTCATCGTGCTTTAAATTTCCATTCTCTTAATGAATACTGATGTTGAACATCTTTTCCTATGTTTATTTACCATCTGCAATCTTCTTTGGTGAATTAAATAATTAAAGCTGTTGCCCATTATTTAGTATATTGTTTCCTATTTTGAATTTTTTAAGTTCTTTGTATATCCTATATTCAAGTCCTTTATCAAATATGGGATTTGAAATATTGTCTCCCAGTCTGTGCTTTGCCTTTTCATTCTCTTGCATTTTTAGAACAGTTAATTTTAATGTACTCCAATTTATCAATTTTTCCTTTTAAAGACAATGTTTTCAGTGTTGTATAAAAGAAATCTTTGCCTAACTCAAGGTCACAAATGTTTTCTCCAGTGTTTTATTCTAGATGTTTTATGGGTCCAAGTTATGCATTCAGCTGTATGATTGATGTCTATTTTTAGTTTGGTTAGAATTTGTATGAGGATATTGCCAAATGTTGTTTATGTCTATTGTAATGATCATAAGGTTTCCTCAGATGTTAGTCTGTTAATATGGTAATTGATTAATTTTCAAATGTCAAACCAATCTTGCATTCCTGGGATACATCCCACTTGGTCATTATGTACCTATCCTTTCCAGAAATTGTGGATTTCATCTGAAATTTTGTTAAAATTGTTGCATCTATATGCATAGGTGTTTGTAGTTTTCTTTTCTTACAATGTCATCATGTAGCTTTGATACCAGGATGATGCTGGCTTCATAGAATGAGTTAGGAAGAATGCTATCCTCTTCAAATTTCCAGAACAGTGTGTAAAGAAATGGCATTTTTTTCTTTCTTAAATGTTTGGTAGGATTCACCCATGAAGCTACCTGATTCTGGTGTTTTCCTTTGGAGAAGCTTTAAACCTACAAACTTAAATTCTCTCTAGAGAGATATTCAGGTTATCTATTATTCCCTGAGAGATTTTTTGTAGTTTGTGCTTTGTACCTTCTAATAATTTGTATATAATTATAAACAAATCAAGTTAAAATAAAATATAACTTGTAAGGTTTTTATTTTTCAAAGGAAAGTAACAAACTCACTGTTTCCTATGAATTTCTGGTGAGGATGTTTTATGAATTCACTTAAGTAGCCTTTTGGCACTAATATAATAAGGACCTTGTATATTAGCAAATACTATTAACTGCAGATACAAACATATTCCACCATGACTCATTTATAAGTAGTAGCAAAAATAAAAAAAACTTTCCATAAATCAATTTGTGTCAGCAATATTTTCTTAGGGTAGAACATT